CCGCCGCCGCCGATTTATGCTGTCCATTGCGTTCGAGGCGACTACTCATTTCCGGAATGAGTAGTTCGTACAGACCTTGCACCAATTCTCGGCGCGAGCAGGACGCCGGCGGATCGCGTTGATCGAGACAAAGAGAGAAAGAGGGTGGCGGGGCAAATGGAGATGAAAAGATGGATGGATGGATAGATAGATATAAATGTGGAAAGCGAAAGAGAGAGAGAAAGAGAGAGAGAGAGAGAGAGAGAGTGACAGAGGGACAACGAGAGAACCAAGTTGATGTTGCAATTGGTGCACACTCGGACGGACAGCAGCAGAGACGCGTGGCTTGCCCAGCCCGTCTCGAATCGACCACCCGGCAGAGGGTGCAGGCCGGTGCTAGCTGCGCGTCTACTCCTCATCGACCCTGCCCATATACACACACACACGCACACACACACACACACACACACACAGAGGGAGACGTGGAGAGCGTCAAGTGTGCAGCCGAGGTGCATGGTTCATGGGTGGGCGTGTGGCGTGCGTCTGTGCGTGTGTGCGTCGGTTTGTCGGTCTGTCAGCGGGCTCGACAGGCGGCGGCGCGTCGAGTTCCGCAGGGGGTCACAGGCGAATCGATCGATGTGACCCCTTTGCTCTGCCGGCGCAGGAACACACGTGCACACACGTGCGCACAGGTGCGCACCGGGATGGCGAGGGACTGTGGTCGAATTGGACCAATGGCGAGGCGCGGAGGCCGGCGACCGGCGACAGTCGTGCCGTCGCCCGGTTGGCCGGTTGGCCGGGACCGGGCCGGGACAGGCGGACTGGCGGCCAGCGCTCGTCTATGACCGAGTGGCCAGTCCGCCTCGCAGTGGCCCATTCACGCGTCGCCAGTGCACATCTTGCCCGTCTGTGCGGCTCTCTGTGTGCCGCCCACCTGTGTCCGCGTGTCGGTGAACACAGCCGGCTCGCCGGCCAGACCGGAGCCCGAGCAGAGGCCAGATTGTCTCTGCTCTTGGCTCTCCTTTCGCCTCTTCCTGCTTCGGCCGACTTGGCTCGCCTCCACTCGCCCAGACGACACCGCCGCCACGAGCCAACTCGCCAACTCGCCAACTCGACACCAACAACCTCATCCTCCTCCTCCTCCTCTTCCTCCTCCTCGTCCTCGTCCTCCTGCTCATCCCCGCTCGTCATGTCCGCCTCGCAAGGCCTCGTCTACTACTCCTCCGGCGGCCTGCCGCAATCCGCCTCGCAACCGTCGCAACCGTCGCCAGCGTCGCCGGCTTCGCAACCGTCGGCTCCGGCCACCTTTTACGCCCAACCGATGGCGCAAGCCTCGACCAAAGTCGTCAACATGTCCCGTGCTCAGATCAACTTGGGCCCGCCGAGCCAATGCGCCAACGGCACGGCCGGCGGCGGCGGCGGCGGCGGCGGCGGCGGCGGCGAGCAATGGTCACCGACGCCCGCCTATCAAGTCTACTCGGTCGGGTCGGGCCAAGCCGGACAAACTGGCCAATCCGGTCACGTGCAGGCCTTCTACAGTCCCGGCCAGCCGAGCGCCGCTCCCGTCTACGCCTATTCTTCCTCCGGCGGCGTCGGAGCGCCTCAGATTTTCACCGTCGGCACCTCACAACCCCTCCAACCACAACAATCCCAACAATCCCAACAACAACAAC